TACCCCGCCTCCGACTCCCGTCTCTCGGCACTACATTGGTGACCCCGACATAAGTCTCGTAGAAGGATCCGAGACTGAACCGAACATGGCAAATAACGCAGTTTTTTTCAAACTGCCGGAGTTTTGGGAGACATCTGCGGCTGCATGGTTCGCTCAGGCGGAGGCTCAGTTCTTCCTCCGCGGAGTAACTGATGACGCAGTACGCTATTTTCACGTCGTTTCGGCACTGGGAATCTCCACTGCGACCCGGACGGTGGGCTTTATTACATCTCCCCCTGCCCAAGATAAATATGCTGTGTTCAAGGCTTTCCTGCTAAAGACTTTCAAACTGTCACGGTCGGAACGGGCCCGGCGCCTGCTCGCTATTCATAGCCTGGGAGACAGCAAGCCTTCCGACCACATGGAAATGATGCTCAGCCTGCTGGGTACGGAAGAACCCAATTTTTTGGTCATAGAAGTTTCTTCGGCACATGCCGCCGCATGTTCAGACGGCGCTCGCTAACACGGCAATCACTGAGCCCCGCGCTTTAGCCGAAGAAGCTGACCGGTTCTTCCTGGCCACCTAGCGTTTTACCCCTGAGGTGCTGGCCCCGACACGCAGCGGCACCTTCCCTGGTAGAGTCATGCCACCTAGCAGAAGCTCCGGAGCTGACATCAGCGACTCCAGCCCTGGCCTTTGTTCTTACCATGCATGCTTCGGGGCGAAAGCGAGGATGTGCCGTCCCCCCTGCACCTACAAGGCAACGGGAAACGCCAAGGCCTGCGCTCGGTAGTGTCCGCGAGCGTGGGCACATCCAACCGGCTCCTGTTCATCAAGGACACCCTCTCTGGTCGCAGACTCCTTTGTGACACAGGAGCCCAGCGGAGCGTCCTGCCGGCTACGGTGGTGGACGCCGTCAGTGAGGGCCACGGCCCACCTTTAACGTCCGCTAACGACATCCCTATTCGCACCTATGGCACAAAGACAGTGGACCTGTGTTTCGGGGGTCGCGGTTTAAGTGGGATTTCGTCACGGCTGACATCTCCTTCGCCCTCCTCGGCGCAGACTTCCTGTGCACTCATGGACTGCTGGTGGACGTCAAGAGCAGCTGCCTGGTGGACGCACTGACGTTTGCCTCGTTTGCATGTACCCGCGGCGAGGCGTCATTCAGCGGGCTCTCCAGCTCAGTCTCACAGGGTGACAAGTTTGAGCACCTTCTCAGTGAGTTTCCCGGTTTCCCAGCCCACCTTTTCCGCTGTCACTTCCAAACACGGGGTAGAGCAACACATTGACACTAAAAGTCCCCCAGTCTACGCTAGGGCCCGGCATATCAACCCTGACATGCTGGCAGTCGCCAAGTCGGAGTTCGTCATCATGGAGCATCTGGGCATCATCCGCTGCTCAGACAGCCCTTGGGCTTCGCCGCTCCACATGGTCCCTAAATCAGCCGGTGGCTGGCGACCGTGTGGTGACTACCGCCGCCTTAACGACGCCACTACGCCAGACCGCTAGCCGGTCCCTCACATCCAGGAGTTCTCTGCACACCTGGCGGGCAAGCTGGTCTTCTCCAAGGTGGATCTGGTGCAGGGCAACCACCAGGTTCCGGTGCACCCCTCAGATGTCCCCAAAACTGCGGTGATTACGCCGTTTGGGCTTTTCGAGTTCCTGCGTATGCCGTTTGGACTTAAGAACGCAGCTCAATCATTTCAGCGGTTGATGGATTCATTGCTCAGAGACATGCCAATCATCTTCGTCTATTTAGACGACATCCTGGTCGCCAGCTCCTCCTCTGAAGAGCACCAGGCACATCTCTGTGTCCTTTTCGCGAGGCTCAACCAACACGGCCTGATTCTCAACCCCCCGTCGACTGGTAGAGGCCGTGTCCGCCTTTCCACCACCGCCTACAGCTCGAGCGCTCCGAGAGTTCCTTGGGATGGTGACGTTTTATCACCGGTTCATCCGCCGGGCGGCTCACACCATGCGCCCGCTGTAGGAGGCCCTCAAGGACAAGTCCCCCGGCCAGGCCATAGACTGGACGGCTGAAAGGGAGGCCGCTTTCGATGCCACCAAAGCCGCCCTGAGCGAAGCCGCCATGTTGGCTCACCCATCACACAGGGCCCCCATCGCCATCACCATCTGACTACGCTGTGGTCGCGGTGCACGAGCAATGGGTCGACGGCGCCTGTCAACCGCTCGCTTTTTTAGCCGCCAGTTCACTCCCAGGGAGCGCAAGTACAGCGCTTTCGACAGGGAACTCCTTGGTCTCTATTTGGCGGTTCGCCACTTCCGTTTAATGCTGGAAGGCCGGGAGTTTGCGGCGTTCATGGATCACAAGCCACTTACTTTCTGCATTTCCAAGGTGGCTGAGCCGTGGTCTGCCCGACAGCAACGCCAGCTTTCGTACATCTCCGAGTACACCACGGACATATGACACATTGCTGGCAAGGCTAACGTGGTCGCGGACTGCCTCTCCAGAGCGGTCATCGGAGCTGTGTAGCTGGGCCTCGATTACCTCCTCATGGGCGCTGACCAGGCCTCTGACCACGGGGTCCAGACCCTCAAGGCCTCTGTCACAGGATTACGACTGGAGGAGTTCACGGTCGGTGACTCGGGCACGAAGCTGTGGTGTGACATCTCCACGGGCCGTTTTTGAGGCGGTTCACAATCTTTCCCACCCCGGTAGGAAGCCGTCCGTGAGGTTGGTGTCGCAGAAGTTCGTGTGGCAGGTGCTTAAGAAGGACGTGAGGTCCTGGGTCGACTCATGTGTGGCCTGTCAACGGGCTAAGGTCCACCGCCATACCTTTTGAACTTTTTGCGGTTCCTGAGAGGAGGTTTGACCATGTCAATGTCGACCTCGTAGGTCCGCTCCCCCCCCTCTCACGGTTTTTCCTACCTGTTTACGATGGTGGACAGGACAACCCGCTAGCCCGAGGCCGTCAGCTTCCGATGTCGCCCGCGCTTTCATCGGCACGTGGGTGGCGCGCTTCGGGACCCCGTCTGACCTCTCCTCTGACCGTGGTTCTCAGTTCACCTCGGAGCTGTGGAACGCTGTTGCTGTGGGTTTGGGGGTCAAGCTGCACCGCACCACCACATATCACCCCCAGGCTAACGGATTGTGTAAGCGGTTTCACCGATCCATGAAGTGTGTGCCGGCTTGACAGAGGGCAACTGAGTGGATAAGCTCCCGTGGGTTATGCTCGACCTCAGGTGTGCCCCCAAAGAAAACCTGCAGTCCTCGTCGGTGGAGCTCGTCTATGGCAAGACGCTACGGGTACCCGGGGAATTCATTCCCACCGCCACTGTGCCCTGGTCTGCGGCCGGGCAGCGCTCCTCCCTGCTGGAGACCGCCGGGACATTCACGCCCGTCCCCACGTCACAGCACAGCAACCCAGCTTTCCGGGTGTCCCCCGGATTACGGTCTGCGGATTTCGTTTTTATTCGCCACAACGCCCACCGCGGCCCCCTTACGACGGTCCGTTCAGGGTCATACGTCACGGGGACAAGAGCCTGGTGGTGGATGTTGGTGGCAGGCCTGAGACTGTGTCGATCGGATTAAGCCTGCTCACGTGGACGTTTCCAGGCCGTTGGAGTTGGCTCTGCCCTTCTGGACTTCCTGTTTCCTCCGGTCTTCGCTTCCCGGGCTTGAAGCTGTTTACATGTTCTGATGCTAAATAAAAGTCTAGCTTTTACCTTTGACACCCCGCCTCCGACTCCCGTCTCTCGGCACTACATTACATCCTTTACCGTCAAACTGGGTCTGAAAACAGCTGCCTGTGTGCGTTTGATAAATACTTTCTTATGCTATATTTATTATATGCTACTTATCAGCTACATGGCCTTAACGTGTGAAGTTAGACAAGCATTTGTACCAGTGCTTTTCACAAGTAGACTCTTGCAGGCCAGAGTAGCTGGAGTGATTCAACAACAACACAAAGACATATCTGAGCAACACATCCTCACTCCCAGGTCGGCCTATGTTGACGGCAACAAAAGTCCTACATTATTCAATTAAAATAAAGAATTAAACACAATAAGTGTGGCTTGATATTGAGTAAGAAAAAGGTTGATAAACGCTGTGAGAATGGATCTGCAGAGAGCATTTCTCCGCGATCCCAACTCGTCTACTACATATGTTCAGGGAGCTCTATAGAAGTCAATGGGACTCCCTGAAAGTTGAAATTTGACGCTAAAGGGCCCCCCCTTGTGTTGGAAAGTGACGACAGGGACCCTGACATAACGTCAACATAGGCCGAGTTGGGAGTGAGAATGTGCTGCCTCAGGAGTCCCCTGGGACCACCAGTCTGAAGGACTCCTGCTTCAGCTCCACCTCTCTCTGAGCCTCTGGTTCCAGCAGCAGGTTCTTTGGGTTCCACCATTACAGCACCAAGACCTCCTGATCCGCTCAGCCGGGGCTCCTCGAGGCTCCTTCACCCAGAAGCTCCTTCAGAGCAGAGTCCGGCTCCTTTGGCTTTCATCTTTTAGAATTCCGTTTCTGATGGGATTTTAGTTCTAGGATCAGATTCTATTAGAAAGCTGAGAAATAATAAAACCTTTTCTTAAAACATGATGTTGAGTCCCTGAGCAGAAGGAGCAGAGGGTCTGCAGAGGAGGAGGTTCTGTTGAAGACACAGGGGAAGGGTTCACTCATGGAGACCACTTGCTAGAGGCTATCAGGTGTAGATGTGAGGGTACCTGCAGTCTGTGCTCTTATCAACATGTGTTCTTTGTTCATCATCAACTCATGTTGGAACTGAGTCCAGTTTGAATCTGAAATATAGTTTCATCTCTTTGATGGTGTGTCTTTGACCTCTGTTTGATCTTCTGTCCTCTGCAGACTCTGTCAGGCTGCTGGGGGGGACTGGTCTGTGCTCAGGCAGACTGGAGGTGAACTCTGACCCGTCTGACCCGTCCTGGTCCTCAGTGTGTGAGGCTGACTTTGACCAGCAGGATGCTCAGGTGGTCTGCCGGCAGCTGGGCTGTGGGGCTCCTTCAGTACTCTAGGGGGCGCTCTATGGAAAAGGGGAGGCTCCAATGGGGACCAAAGAGTTCCAGTGTGGAGGCCATGAGTCTGCTCTCCTGGACTGTAGCTCAGCCTCAGAGAGAAACACCTGCTCACCTGGCACAGCTGTTAGGCTCACCTGCTCAGGTAGAGAGGAGCTGTGATTGGTTCATTCTGTTCTCATCAAACTCACTTTATTCTCTCTCTGATCTCTCTCTTGTTTCTCTGCAGAGCCTGGTGGTGTTCAGCTGGTGGGAGGAGAGAGTCGCTGTGCAGGAGACCTTGAGCTGAAACATGAGGGAGAATGGAGACCAGTGTGGGGCTATGGCTCTCCCTGGACCCTGAAGGCAGCAGCTGTTGCCTGCAGAGAGCTCGACTGTGGCTCTGCTCTTTCTGTAAAAAAGAGATCTGAGTCCTACAGACCTACGTGGTGGATCAGCTCTGAGTGTGTTGAGTCTGGATCTGCTCTGTGGGAGTGTGCAGCCTCAAGTTCCACTTCCTACATCCTGAATCTCACCTGCTCAGGTAAGCCCATCAGTGATATTGTTTATGACATCATCCTCTCTCTCTCTCTCTCTCTCTCTCCTCTCTCTCTCTCTCTCTCTCTCTCTCTCTCTCTCTCTCTCTCTCTCTCTCTCCTCTCTCTCTCTCTATCTCTCTCTCTCTCTCTCTCTCTCTCTCTCTCTCTCTCTCTCTCTCCCCTACCTGGACTGGCACAGACTGAAAGCTGGTTGTAATATTTCAAAGCGGTGTCTTCAGACTGAGGAGGTTTTCTCAGAGACTGTTTGTATTGTTGCTGCTGGGGCAGGCAAACATGTGGATCTCCAAAAGCAGGAACAACAAAGCAAACAGTACAGCAGCTCAGCAACTCACTAACATGTGTTTCTCTTGGTGAGAGCAAGAGTGAGTGTCGATTTTAGATTTCACTATCTGATGAGAAACATGGAGGAGTTTCTAAACCGTTAGTGTTTCACTGCATCTGTGTGCTCTGTGGTGGAGGGAGAGCTTGCTTTGAACTCTGTCTCTATGAGAAGAGATCGCATTCAGAAATCCAAAAGACAGAAATTATCTCTCTCAAAGTCGAGTTAAATAAGATCATTGTTGTTGTTATAAAGGAGTCTTTAAAACATAAAATCCTCTCTCTCTCTCTCTCTCTCTCTCTCTCTCTCTCTCTCTCTCTCTCTCTCTCTCTCTCTCTCTCTCTCTCTCTCTCTCTCCAGATAAGCTGCTTCAGCCCAACATCTCAGTGTCCTCCTCCATGTACGGGGTCTCCGGGGCCAAGCAGCAGGGGTTCCAGGTGTTCCAGGTGTTCAGAGGCTCCACCTTCACCATCAGCTGCTCCATCCAGCCTCAGTACCCAGGAGGCTCCTTCCAGCTCAACTTCACCTCCATCAACTCAGCAAGCAACTACTACTCAGAGACAGCTGTCAATCACTCTGCCCACTTCCTGTTCCCGGCTGCAGAGCCCGCCCACCAGGGAAGCTACAGCTGTGTTTATCACGTCTCTGCTTTTTCTCAGGACTTCTCTGAGAGCCGTCTGCTCTCCGTCACCGTCACAGGTGAGCTGTTAGAGTTTACTGTAGGACAGAGCGTGATGCTCCCCAGGAGAACGCTGGTGAGTGTTTTACTGTGAGCCCTGAAGCAGTCACACCCTTACATCACATGTAGCTTTCCAGAGCAACGTACAATAAGTGCAATGAACCGTGAAGACATGAATCCAGAACACACATTCTCCAGTCAGCTGTAGTTTACATTGGAGTATTTCCATGAGTACTGACTGTTTAACAGATACAGCTAGCAGCTTCTCGCTACAGTCCTACTGTCTGGTATGAACAGGAGAAAGGGTTGGGGTTGAATGTAGTGTATTGTAATGTAACTGTAGAGAGGAGTCTCCATGCTGAAGTGGGTTCAGGTCTCTGTGTGTTTGCTGACTCTTGATGTGATGCTGTCCAGGTGTTCCATCAGATCCAGAACCTTTTATCATCCGAGCCGTCGTCCTGCCGCTGACTCAGCTGCTGGTGCTGCTGGTGACCATCGGACTTTACTTCTACTGCAAGGTACGGAAACATGTTGTTGTTCCACTGACTGAATGATGAGGGACTGAAACATGTTGTTGTTCCACTGACTGAATGATGAGGTACTGAAACATGTTGTTGTTCCACTGACTGAATGATGAGGGACTGAAACATGTTGTTCCACCACTGACTGAATGATGAGGTACGGAAACATGTTGTTGTTCCACTGACTGAATGATGAGGTACTGAAACATGTTGTTGTTCCACTGACTGAATGATGAGGGACTGAAACATGTTGTTCCACCACTGACTGAATGATGAGGTACGGAAACATGTTGTTGTTCCACTGACTGAATGATGAGGTACTGAAACATGTTGTTCCACCACTGACTGAATGATGAGGTACGGAAACATGTTGTTGTTCCACTGACTGAATGATGAGGGACTGAAACATGTTGTTGTTCCACTGACTGAATGATGAGGGACTGAAACATGTTGTTGTTCCACTGACTGAATGATGAGGGACTGAAACATGTTGTTGTTCCACTGACTGAATGATGAGGGACTGAAACATGTTGTTGTTCCACTGACTGAATGATGAGGTACTGAAACATGTTGTTGTTCCACTGACTGAATGATGAGGGACTGAAACATGTTGCTGTTCCACTGACTGAATGATGAGGTACTGAAACATGTTGTTGTTGTTCAACTGACTGAATGATGAGGTACTGAAACATGTTGTTGTTCCACTGACTGAATGATGAGGGACTGAAACATGTTGTTGTTCCACCACTGACTGAATGATGAGGTACTGAAACATGTTGTTGTTCCACTGACTGAATGATGAGGTACTGAAACATGTTGTTGTTCCACTGACTGAATGATGAGGGACTGAAACATGTTGTTGTTCCACCACTGACTGAATGATGAGGTACTGAAACATGTTGTTCCACCACTGACTGAGTGTGTGTTATTGAACAGGAGTGATGCAGGAAGTCTCACTGTGTGCTGTCATGTCTCTCCAGGCCACCAGGGGGCGGAGGCCGAGCCGACAGGAGGACATTGAGCTGGATTACCTGGGTGTTCCTGCTGAAGAGGAAGGAGCTCAGGGAGCAGAGTAGCAGCTCCACGGAGCTCCTCTCTCACACATGGGTTTATCAGCTCTTATAGCTTTTAACCAACGTTAGAAAATATAGCTTTCACTCTGAAAGTCACCAGCAATGTGTGAGTGCCTCATGTTTCCTGACTTCCTGTCAGCTCCAAGCCCATTGGTTCCCACTGAAGATGAAGATCTTTAAAAACATCACACGTTTGTTTTATTTTGAAAAGTCCAATCAGTGAGTGCAGTTTGAAACCACAGACACACCAACCCGACCCACTTAGGGAATGTGTAGCCGAATAATGTTACATATGTAATTTAAAATTAGGCAAATCCCCCCTAAAGTCAGTATTAATATCCAATGTTTGATTCAAATGTCGTGACAAATTAATCCTGAGAGAACAGGAGGAATGTGTGACAGCACGATCTGCTGTTGGGTTTGTAGATCTCAAGCACATTGAGGGTTGGGGTGTTTCTCAATTTCGAGTAAAGCTGCTCCAGAGACACTATTTCAAGCATTAAAGCGGCCAAAATCCTAAAAATATAAGAAAGAAATATAACTCAAAGCAAAGTGCCGCTGAGGCACCCGTCAGCGAATCTTACGCATGGCTAAAAATCAAGGTCCGAGCAAAAGTCGTTTTAGTGCAATTTATTATACACATATCAAGTATTTTTCTTTGTTCTTACCCGATGGTAACAAACCTACTGGGTGCGCTGCGCACTACCACCTGTTTCCCAGATTTATAATGAGCAGGTCTCCCATCCCCCGGTGCCCAAAGGCTGCCTTTACAAAACAGAGGCATAGTACAACGTATTGGATAAGCTTAAGTAAGAATTAAAAGGAAGATTTACTATAAACAAAAAAGAACAATAAAATAAATGGATAACTATTAAATAATATAAACTCCTAGATATGGCTTCATCAAGCATACTACGTCATCGAGTCGAAGGACTGTTCCAATGTCCAGCACACTTGGAGTTCTACCGAGCCCGGCGTACTTCGTTTGGAGAAATTTCGAGGCTACACATGAGTAGACTCCGCGGTCTTAAAATCCCCACAATGCTTTGCGCACGGACCAATTTCCCCAAATCTGTGGCGGAAAATGTAAGGCTCTCATATGACGCACACCTGCACACTTGCTAGCCTGTTCCACTCTTTGTTTTCCGAATGCCAGGAAGTATTCTTGCCTCGCTTCTGAAGCAAGATGCTCGGAAGACATGTGCTACCAAGCAAGCGTCCTAGAGATTGAGAAACACCCTTGGTGTTCTTCTTCTTATGTACTGAGCTCGATTTTGTTATACATTTTCATTGTTCAAGATTTTGTTACTTGATAAGAATTGTTTATATTTTGTAAGAATTTAGATATTTTCAATAATTCTGCTTATTCTAGAATTTTCCCAAATTCATAAGACTTTTGATACAAAAATGTTGTTCTTGGAATTTACATAATTTTGTAACAATAATGTTCATTTTTAATAAGTAATGTGCTTTGTTACGTAATCAAGAAATGCCTCATTTTATAATAATGTGGCAAATAAATATTTAGCATTTCTTAAGAATTTTTTTTTTTTCAAAGTGTTCAGATTATTGTTGTGCTTAAACTTAAATTGTATTGTCATTATTACGAAGTCATTAGTTTTGTAATCGAGAAATGATTTTCCTTCAGAAGAATTTTGATACATTTGGTTGCTGATTTTGACCACTAAAGCATTTTGTTGAATATTCTTCTTGAAGTTTTCTTCAGATCAGATTTTTAGTAGAATTTAGCATCACACATTTTGCTTAATTCTTTTATAAATAATAAAAATTAATTTTGGATTCAAAAGAATATGCTGACGTAAATCATCTGAAATAAACATGAACACAACTTCATAAAATAATAGAGATGATCAAGATCACTGTAATACATGTTTCCATGTTGTTTTCTATGTCCCAAAAAAATAATAAAACTTCTTGAAAAATCCATGAAACTCTGAGAGTGATCTGATTTGTGTGTTTAGTGTTTATCCTAGTTGGGAAGAAGTGAGAATGTTAAATGTACAAGATAAACTCCAAGGCTTTAGGTATGACAGAATGATATTACTGCATCAAATAATCTCTGTCAAACAAACAATTATAATACTGACACGTTTGATCAGCAGGATAATCTCCACAGATTAACACCACTTTAGGATTTCTGAAGTAAGAAGCTAACATTAGGCTAAAGGAACTACAGCACGGTCACATGACTTCACGTCACCAACGCTAAGCTAAAGGTGGCTAATGTTGGGCTATAAAGGAACTACAGCACGGTCACATGACTTCATGTCACCACTGCTAAGCTAAAGGTGGCTAATGTTGGGCTATAAAGGAACTACAGCACGGTCACATGACTTCACGTCACCACTGCTAAGCTAAAGGTGGCTAATGTTGGGCGACAAAGGAACTCCAGCACGGTCACATGACTTCACGTCACCACCGCTAAGCTAAAGGTGGCTAATGTTGGGCTATAAAGGAACTACAGCACCGTCACATGACTTCACGTCACCACTGCTAAGCTAAAGGTGTCTAATGTTGGGCTATAAAGGAAATACAGCACGGTCACATGACTTCACGTCACCACCGCTAAGCTAAAGGTGGCTAATGTTGGGCTATAAAGGAACTACAGCACGGTCAGATTACTTCACGTCACCACCGCTAAGCTAAAGGTGGCTAATGTTGGGCTATAAAGGAACTACAGCACCGTCACATGACTTCACGTCACCACTGCTAAGCTAAAGGTGTCTAATGTTGGGCTATAAAGGAAATACAGCACGGTCACATGACTTCACGTCACCACCGCTAAGCTAAAGGTGGCTAATGTTGGGCTATAAAGGAACTACAGCACGGTCAGATTACTTCACGTCACCACCGCTAAGCTAAAGGTGGCTAATGTTGGGCTATAAAGAAACTACAGCACGGTCAGATTACTTCACGTCACCACCGCTAAGCTAAAGGTGACTAATGTTGGGCTATAAAGGAAATACAGCACGGTCACATGACTTCACGTCACCACCGCTAAGCTGAAGGTGGCTAATGTTGGGCTATAAAGGAACTACAGCACGGTCACATGACTTCACGTCACCACCGCTAAGCTAAAGGTGGCTAATGTTGGGCTATAAAGGAACTACAGCACCGTCACATGTCTTCATGTCACCACTGCTAAGCTAAAGGTGGCTAATGTTGGGCTATAAAGGAACTACAGCACGGTCACATGACTTCACGTCACCACTGCTAAGCTAAAGGTGGCTAATGTTGGGCTATAAAGGAACTAGAGCACGGTCAGATTACTTCACGTCACCACCGCTAAGCTAAAGGTGGCTAATGTTGGGCTATAAAGGAACTACAGCACGGTCAGATTACTTCACGTCACCACCGCTAAGCTAAAGGTGACTAATGTTGGGCTATAAAGGAAATACAGCACGGTCACATGACTTCACGTCACCACCGCTAAGCTAAAGGTGGCTAATGTTGGGCTATAAAGGAACTACAGCACGGTCACATGACTTCACGTCACCACCGCTAAGCTAAAGGTGGCTAATGTTGGGCTATAAAGGAACTACAGCACCGTCACATGTCTTCATGTCACCACTGCTAAGCTAAAGGTGGCTAATGTTGGGCTATAAAGGAACTACAGCACGGTCACATGACTTCACGTCACCACTGCTAAGCTAAAGGTGGCTAATGTTGGGCTATAAAGGAACTAGAGCACGGTCACATGACTTCACGTCACCACTGCTAAGCTAAAGGTGGCTAATGTTGGGCTATAAAGGAACTACAGCACCGTCACATGACTTCACGTCACCACTGCTAAGCTAAAGGTGACTAATGTTGGGCTATAAAGGAAATACAGCACGGTCACGTGACAAAAGGTCACCACCGCTAAGCTAAAGGAGGCTAATGTTGGGCTATAAAGGAACTAGAGCACGGTCACATGACTTCACGTCACCACTGCTAAGCTAAAGGTGGCTAATGTTGGGCTATAAAGGAACTACAGCACCGTCACATGACTTCACGTCACCACTGCTAAGCTAAAGGTGACTAATGTTGGGCTATAAAGGAAATACAGCACGGTCACGTGACAAAAGGTCACCACCACTAAGCTAAAGGAGGCTAATGTTGGGCTATAAAGGAACTACAGCACGGTCAGATTACTTCACGTCACCACCGCTAAGCTAAAGGTGGCTAATGTTGGGCTATAAAGGAACTACAGCACGGCCAGATTACTTCACGTCACCACCACTAAGCTAAAGGCGGCTAATGTTGGGCTATGAAGGAACTACAGCACGGCCAGATTACTTCACGTCACCACCACTAAGCTAAAGGAGGCTAATGTTGGGCTATAAAGGAACTACAGCACGGTCACATGACTTCACGTCACCTCCGCTAAGCTAAAGGCGGCTAATGTTGGGCTATGAAGGAACTACAGCACGGCCAGATTACTTCACGTCACCACCACTAAGCTAAAGGAGGCTAATGTTGGGCTATAAAGGAACTACAGCACGGTCACATGACTTCATGTCACCTCCGCTAAGCTAAAGGTGACTAATGTTGGGCTATAAAGTAGGGTGACCATATTTTGATTTCCAAAAAAGAGGACATGCTGCCCCCAGCCTCGAGATACTTAATGATACTCAACGTTTACTCAAAGATGCCTTATTGTTTTAAAGTATGCCTCCTCTGTATGGATATACAATTATTATTTATATTATTTTACTGTATATAACACAATAATATCTCTCTATAACCAAAGACACACCAAACCAAGGTTACTCAACAATCAACATGCTTTATTATGCCTAGAAATTATCTCTGACAAATCTCAAATGCACAAGAATAACTTAAACATCAACCTGTAACAAAATAATAGCTCTCTTTTCAAGTCTTACTGGACACAAATAAATAACAAAATATATGAAATAGTAGAAAATAGAAAATCCAGCTTTAACAAATAATCTCTTTGTATCTTGTCAATGTAAACAATAAAACAGTAACCTCTAATCTAATTATTTTAAAAGTGCACTATGCAGTTTTGGATTTCACATTTGCAT